CATTTGTCCCAAGATGAAAGTGGCAAAGATGAACCGGAAGAAATTGACAAATATCATTCAAGGAGAGAGTTAAAGTGAATTCAAATTTTTTTAAATTTAAAAGAAGATTTAGTCCTCAATATCAAATTGTTTGTCAACTTTGCAACTGAATTTGAAACTCTTGGGATTAATCATGAGTGATGTCTGCGTGTATGATTATAAAAGTAAAAGAAGAAAGAGTAAAAGAAAAGCCTGTCGCTTGATACTTCTATTAATTCTCAGTTTTTCAATCAAAATCAATATGTATAAATAGATTAATCACCAAATTCATTTATTTAACACCTAAACGTTTTACCAAAGCTCATAAATGTGTTTAAAATTCACACGATCAAGTTAGGAGATCATTGTCTCGCTTGGAACACCCATTGGTCGGTTGTTACTCGTTTGATAATCAGTCCTCACAACCAAAACAAATGTTTGTGGTATTTCCTTCCTGCAGGTCTGTTCCTCTCCTGTATACAAGAAATTTGATAAGCACCCTAAGCTATAGACTCATATCTATTGCTTCAAAAGATGCAATTGAAGACGAACTTAAGGTTGTATACGACACGGTAATTGAAAACAGCTACCCTGAAAAATCCACCACTAAACACGACCGAGAAAGCAGAAAACAAGTCTTCTGTATCTGTTAATATGAAACCTCTATATATACGACTACAATTCAAAGGTGGTACAGATCCAATTGAAGTAATAACCAACAAGTTGAAAAGGTCGATTCAGAGAACGTTCAATACAGGTAAGCTGCAAGTTATATTTTTCACACAAGCGGTTGTTATTCCGGAACTGGAAAATGAAGCGCCTACGCCGACCACCTCTAATTGTGTCTATCAATTCAACTGCTCCTGTAGAGCTAGTTATATTGCCGTTGCTCCAGGAACTTATTTTTTCGTGCTTCGGAACACCTAACAGTGTGTTAAACCAAGGTATTGTTAAAACTGTCAACAGTTCTATATTGGACCACCTTGTCCAAAACAGGTCACAAAGCTACCATTGAAGAGTCTTCCTCTATCATTCATCAGGCGTATCAAATAAATTACCGGAGACCCCTTGATACTGGACACTCCAAACAACAGAGACCATTACAATTTGCTTAAATCAACCGGGGCTCTGTATGCAAAGAGACGGGTTCAGACACTATTGCTACCTTGACCTGCTCTTGAGCCCATAAATTCATAAGTTCTGTGTTACTTCTTTTAATTTGTCTGATATTTAGTTTAGTGTTATATTCATGCATATTATCTCTCTTACTGATAATGCTATATTTAACCATATTTCTTTAATTATTACTATCATATAAATGTAGAACCTGATGATCAATTTGTCGAAAAGGATATTCTTTGTTCATTGATTAGTCTTTGAAATTATCAATCGCTTCTCTAATCAATTAAATTTTGACTGGGTAGTTGAGAGTGTCGTGCAAAAAATCACGTGCCTCTTGCAAAGCTTGGATTTCCTAATTCGTTCTTTGTATTTGACTAACATCATAATCAACTAAGTGATTAGTATCAGCCAAATTCTTCTTCAGGATTATGGGTATCTTTGTGTTTAGTGAGTATTTGTGACAGGTAGTCGTAGAAAGGAAATGGAGTGTTATAAAGTTCGCATAATCGGATGTACTGTTAAAGCACTGTTGTAACGCTTACTGACAACGCTTAATACAAGCCAGTCATAATTCCTGAAATAATAACCTCTTTTTTATGGACAGTATTTATAAAATGTAGAGAGTTTTCAGAGGAGTTTATTCCATGATATTTTCCCTTCGTACAATACCTTCAAGTAAACTATTAATTGACAGTATATCTTGTGATACAATGGTCTCTGAGCTGAAGCACAAACCATTGTTCAAATTTATTCAGTTCACATTGCTACATTCAAACAAGTTATTTATTTATTTTACTATGAAACATCTTATTTCCCATCTAATTGTATTTTATTCATGACACTAGTATTATTTCCAAATGTACTTTATTTTATGTTGATTTGATTCAAATGTCTAATCGATTTTTACCCATGCATATAAATGAAACAAGAAAGTTGTGTGAGTAGTGCCTTGATATAATTATGAGCAGCAATAATTTGTGCTTGAAACGTGGTCATCAGTAAATATTCCCGTATAACACTGTGTGATTTTATCTAAATAAAATTTTATCCACAGTGGAGTTATACTCTACCACAGTTCCCAAGTCTTATCCTTATATAAACAATAGATCACTTCTTAAAATTAAAACCTTAAAAAATATTGTATTTTAGTTTATTACAGAAAGTCACGAAATTTTTGTAAATTTAGTCTGTGTTGAATGAACATTCCACGTAGTTGTTTACAGAAGGTTTTTTTGCTTCTTTCATCTTATTTATTTGTGTGTTTGTTCATAGTCATCAGTCAGTGGAATACATTTCCAGTTAAGAAACAGAATGTGAAATCTCACTGCAGAAAAATTCTGTAGAAGAAGTCAGTACCTTAAGTAGTTGAACTGTATTCAATCATGAAGAGTAGTGAAACTTTTGGACAAGTAACAGTACTTGAAATATGAAAACTGCTGTTAACAGTTAGTCTTTTCTTTATCCATTTCAGTGAGTTGATGTATGTGACACTTGTTCAGTGGTAGAATAATCTCTGACCACAAAAGTGGTCTGGGGCTGCATTCCCAGTTGGCGCACTCTTAAACCTCATTCAGTGTACTAGTCAACAGCATGTCCAGAAATGAGGTAAGGTTCAGCGTGAGGCTGTCAACTCCACCCAGTAAAACAAAAACATGGTTACTGAAACCGTAAGACTTCAAGCCTGGAGGTTTATGTTCTATTCGAAACTCAAAGGATTGAAAGAATTGAGTCAATGTGTTACTTTTGAAAATGACTGACTTTCATACTAAACCATCAACTAAGTGTATATTAATCAACACTCCTTTATGAATTTATCTGTACAATAGAACGTATAGCTACCAATATACGAAAACATTGTGCCTTCCCAATTGAAAAGATCTAGTCTCAGTGCCTGGTTCGTCTTATAATCAGTTGTTTTCTACAACAACAACAACAACAACGGTAACCCTTGTGAATATGTTAACTGCTCCGACAAGCGAAATAGTTTGCAGACGGAAAATAAATTCACCATTCCTGTAATATGCAAGATAATTGCGAAATGGACACTACACGTTTAAAAATGTTAATTGAATATTATATCTATTTGAAAATAATTTTACAGTGCTTTACCATTTAAAATTCGACTACATTTGCAAAGGTTAAAGCTAGAAAGAATTAAGAGATAACCGCATGTCTGCATGTTTACGTGTGTGCGTCAGAGTATTTATGGCTGATTCATCATATATCTATAGTACCGTAGAGATACTTCGAGAGAACAACATCCGATTTTAATCTTTCATTTTTGTAAATGAAGAAAGCTGTAAAATTTCCCTCTTTTGTATGCATTTCTTCCGATAGTTTGTGTTTATCCTATTACAGAAAAATTCTGGTCATTATAGGTTCTTTTTTATTCCTTGTGCTCCAAGTAGAACAGGGGCTTTTGACTTTTAGAGTTTCGATAGCAGTGGTATTTTTTGACAGAGTGGTTTCGCTAGCCTCACTATAAACCATCCTTTCTTTTTCGAAGTTAAAAATCAATTGTATTGAGAACACTAAATTCTTAGTAGGTAAATGGTTATTGGTGTTTCAGATAACTATTTTCAAGATGGACTTAAAAAAAGCACAACACATTTTAACCTTAACAAAAAACAGAAAAGAAAATATACAATTATGAAATTCTGCTTTAAATTATTCAACACGAATGTGACTGACTAAAGTGAGAGAGAGGCTTCACTTATCACAGAAATTAATACAAAGTGATTATTTGCAACAGTGGTAGCAGTTGTAAATAGTGTTCACGATTGGCAAATTAGTTTGTAATTAGTTAACACAGTCCAGGGTGAAATTTCATCGCACTTTTATTTGAAAACGAAAATTAATCATATCTGCCTGATACCACAAATGGTAATCAGGAAAGCAACCACAACTGCTAAACCCATATACTACTAACTGATTGAATAAAGCAGTTTGTTGTATATCGCTCACATCAATCAGTAGTGCTTGCTAGCAATATCGAGGTGATCTAAACACAAGACGACTGTTTTGCTAGTTTGCGGTTCACTGAGCTGAATCAAACTGAGTGCACCGCTGATGAACTAAGCCTAAAAAGAGCGAAACAGTTGCCGTGTGTTTAGACCACTACGAACTTGATATCAAGCACTACTGATTGATGTGAGTGATATACAACCAAATGATTGATATAAGCAGTCGTAAATGTTTACCAAATAAAGCATTAACACTTAACCACATAATAATCTCGGGTTTCTCTTATTCATAATTAGGTAAGTTCTCAAGCATATTCTATGTTTTTGAAACACTAATAACACATTACAGAAAGTCTTAACCGCGTGAAATTGCTGACCTGGTTTGATTGATTAATTAAGATATATATATATATATATATATATATATGAGTGAAAATATCGTTCGGTGATGGATAGGAGGCATACTTGCATGTTTTACACTGTCTAGGAAGCGAATAAATTTGACTTTTAGATGTTGATTTGCAGGGATTTGATTGATTTCAAGGTTGATCACGAATTGACTACAGTTACAGAACCAGTGAAAACCAGGATGAAATAGTTTTCCAGTACTTTGTGATTTTCAGGGTTTCTCTAACTGAAGTCAATTCGTAATAAATCTTGAAACTTCGTTTCAGTTGAAAATTCACCGAAATGATACTTACACAACCAACAAGTGTTTAGTAGTAGTTCATTCATCCTGTTCAGTCCAACTCAAATTTATTGTGAACATTTAGTGAACTATATGGTGTATTTAAAATATAGGAATGGCCAGGTAAGAAAAGATGAAGTGATTATTTTAATCATTAAGTGTAATTTTTATTAACAAAAATATGAACATACATCTACTGGAAAACTTACTTCAACCTGGACGTTGACGTGTAACTTATTGATTTCCGATTATCAAGCCATATAGGTTCATTTAAATTCCTATCAATAGTGGAATGACCAGAATACATTGAACTTAAAAAAACTGAATAAAACTGTTGTATTCCTGTTTTGGATTACGCGCGCACAATTATTCGGAACTGAATAGAAAGCTAAATAATCATATAAATATCTTTTTAAACAATTCACTGCACTTGATTTTTGTATTCATAATAATAATAATAATCAGCTTTATTGAATTTTGATACTTAAAGTCCTTGAATTGAACAAAAGAGAGAAGAAATAATCCGGATCAGGTGATCGGTAGTATTCCTTTGATTTAGAGAAACTTTATATATATATATATATATATATATATATATATATATTACAACAGTGCTTTACCTTTTGCGTTAATTTGACAAATGGAAATACTTGTAAATCCCATAATGATAAATGACTAAATAACCTGGGTCGGTTTTGATGGCAATAAATTCAGTGTGCTGGCCAATGATGGAAAAGTTCTTGAAAAAATGGGGTTAAAAATGGCACTCAAGACCATCTCAGTGCATAGAAATTAACCAGCAGTCACAAGTGACATATTTATATGACTCTAATAGACACATGTAGTCGAAAATTGTTGTGAAATGCAGTAATATATATTTTAATTGTGTTGCAAAATGATTACAGCTATTCTAAGTGTGACAAACAATTTTACTGATGTTTAAGTGTTGGTTTGTAGGGATTTGGTTGGTTACAGGATTTCTTAATGAGCTGATATCAGTTAGAGAACCATCGGAAAACCTGGGAGTACTGGACAGCTGTTTCGTCCTAGTTTGGGACTCTTCAGGACTACGCACCCGCTGGGGTTCGAAGCCAGGACCACCCAGTTACAAAGCGAGCTCGTACACCATTAAGCCACTGGGACCCGATCCAATGGTCCATGAATTCCAACTTCTATCGATTCATGACATATCGCGAACGCTAGGCAATGTCTTCGGCAGGTATTTGTCCTCACACCCGACCAATGGTTCTCTAACGAATGTCAGCTCATGATGGAATCCTGTAACCAACCAAATCCCTACAAATCAACACTTGAATATCGATGAGATGCTCACTGGCGACTTGCCCTATTCAGGTAGGTAGTTACCTGGGGTTCTAGTGAGAAGTCGTGACCAGTAGGGCGCAGCAGGTTAGGTGTGAGGACAAATACTTGCCAAAGACATTGGCTAGCTATCGCGCTATGTCATGAATTTTACAGACGGTTAGACTATAGCATTTTTGTAAATAATACAGAGGGGCGCTTTAAGGATTGTGTGGTTTCGGACTGCTAATTTTAGTATTTTCGAGTATAGTTAGTGTTTGATTATTTTCCACGGTCTTGCCATGTAATGAATCGGATAGTATCTGCCTTCCTTCTCATTTGTGTGTAGTTGGAATAAAACTTAAGCTGAGGTATTATAGGACAATGTAATTGTCAATAAAAGTTTCACAGCTTAACAGAAAATCATTATTCTAACCTTGAAGTTAGTTCGCTTTTTTTTCATACAGTCTAGTAAATATTTAACGATATATTTTATCATCAACGGACATCACTCAGGAAACGTTTGAAAACCGGTAACAGCTGACCATCTTCTTTATCACAGTTTGGGATTCTGGAGTAATATACACCTACTAATACCATCACTCAATAAGAGCCTAGAAGAAAGAGTGTAAGGCTAGAGCTGACTGCTTAAGCTTCATGAGGATGACACTGTAGTGTGTACTGGTAGAATTTAAAATTCCTTGGTTATTGTGTTTCAGCTGAAAGACTTGGTCCCCAGTGAAGTCGTAAATGTGCACTTCTGAAGAGCACCAAACTAATACTAAAGAGCTATCAATATTTCTGTTGTCTTTAATGGTTTCCCAACTGATATTGACCCATGAAGAATTTTCCCCTAAAATTAATTAGGTTTTCACAAAGCGAACATGAAGTAGCCACTTAATCAATGAGCTGCACTAAATAAGGATTTTTAGGTCGAAATCCAACGAAATAGACAATAAAATTTATTTATGATTTAAAAGTATTCTCACAAGTATAAGCCATAGAATCAATAATAACAACTTAGCCAGCACTTGGGACTATACCGCAAAGCAGGAAATACTTTTGTTCAAGAACTGAACAGTGTAGAATTTATACCTTGATTCCTCACTGTATCTTTTTTTAATTTATTGGGATAAGGATTGTTATTCCAATGCTTCAAACAAAGCATATCACTACTAAACTCAGTAATTTGTCAGACTATCTGTCTTATTGGTCTACTAAGAGATAGGCTCCTAAACACTCGATAGCATGCATTGCTATAACTGATCTTTTTTCTAGGCTTTTTAATTCTGCTCCATTTCTAGGCGGACATTTCATGGACAGTCCATGTTCATTCGATTTGACCTTCAGTTCCCTACTTCTCTCCCTTGTAGTAACAAGCCTCACATTCTGAACACTTTAACCTATAGACACATAGCTTTCTCTAGAGAATAAAAGTACTCGAAATAGACTTTAATATTATATCAAGCAAGCGTAATAATAAGTGTTTGGTTGGAATGGCTTTGAAGTATTAGTTTTCATACATTTCAATGACAAACGTATTAAATACACTGACTTTTCATTGAAAAATAACAAATTTCATATTATCTTTTCTTTAATCATACAGATTCAAATCCATTTTGGAGAGGTGTTTTTTACCTGTAGATTGCCAACATGTAATAAAAGGGACGAAACCTAAGTCGAATAGGATTCTATGCGATCGCTTCTGAGCACATTACATACCTTGATGACAGTACCGACAGCTTAACAAATCTAAATTTGCTCACCACAGAAAACTAAACAACATGAAATTAGTTTACCTACACTTGCTACCAATCGATGCACAATTTTACTAATTTATTAATTATTTTAGTCCGGAATTTAACAATTGCTTCCCAAAACTAAATAATTTAAAATGGATTCAGTCGACCAAATCTAGACGGAACAGAACCTGGAGACCGATCCTGAAATTGTAGCCAAGGTCTCGAAATTCATCTCTGATTTAAAGTGAGACAAAGCGGTAAGAAAACTTAGTAGTAATTCACTTGAAAGATGTTAAATAATAATGATGATAAATTATTTACTTTATTAACTAAGATGCCATCTAGTTTATCAGAATTTGAAGTAGTTCGATCAGACTGGTGCACATCATTGGTCATTGCGATTTACATTACACAGTCATACGGTGACTAAGGTAAGTGTGGATAAAAGAAACAAGAGATAACACGGTGTTTTGAGCTGGGACGAGATTGTACTAAACAAGCATTCAGCCTTTGATAAACTCTGAAACATAGATATACTTTCGAGAGCCTGACGTCTGCCATATTTCTTAACTCGTAAACAACATTCCGCACTGTAAGTCAAGAAGTCTTTCGGAAATGTCTGACAGCGACTCCATCTGACTTCAAATTTTCGGTAAGGAATTTGTTATTATGAAAAACAACGTTGGTTCAGGTACACAAACAATGCTTGATCTGTGATTCTGTCTGTTACTGCAATAATGGATGGTACTAAATCGTACTTTAGTACTAAGTAGTTGAATGTATTAGTCGCCTCATTTATTCTGCGGGTAATTCAGGGCAGTTCGATCTGTTCTACTTACAGTTGTGAAACGAGACTCCTGAGTACAGGAGATCGAAAATGATATGATTTTTTCAACCATAGTTGCCTTCGTTCCATTGTGTACGTCAGATGCAGATTTGATGTAAGCTATTTGGTAAGAAGCTTACGGTAGTCGACAACCTTGTGAAGCTTGAATGATTGAGGTAGCTGGGAAAAGTGCTACAAATGCCACATCACCAACTTTCTGGGCAAGCAGTACTCGCTAAAGTAGGATTGGACTAGGGAAGAATTGAAGGTAGTCAAACTGAAACTGCCTCCATAAGTGACTGTTTATCTGAGCATTTAGGGAAACCTAGATTGCACATCTAAGATTCTCTGAGTAATATGACTGATTGGACTTATACATGGGTGTAAGGACACTAAACGCAATGGACGCCTCAACTGAATGCTAGACATGACAATTCACCCTTTTATTACCTTCCGCTTCACTGAGCCACGCAAGCATCAGAAGACAAAGACTGGTTTTTATCAAAGGAAAACACATCATATTTATACATTTCTAACATGCAATAAATTAGGCTAAGTGAGTTTTAAATAGATTATCCTGACTGGTTGCAATTAGCCAAAGGTTATACAATGAGGTTATCATTTCCATATAATAAACTAAATCCAGATTTGAAAAATAAAATCTTCTGCCTCTGGAATCATTGGCTTAAGATGTTGATTGAAATTTTAAGTGCTTCCTGTCATTGAAAGTTAAGAATCAGGGATTGGAGACTTTTAGTGAGGTGGTTCACAACAGGTCAGATGAATTCACTACATCACCTCTTCTAGATCCTGGAAGGTTTCATCAATCTATGCTAAATAATCCTATCAGTCGAACGTATTGGTCAGTTGTAGTATCAGTTAGCAACAGATTATTTAGTCAACAAGAATTTCGAGGTATAGAAGTGATGGAAACAACTGAAGAGTTTTAGTATTATTACATTATGTTGTATACTTCATCGAAGTGTAGAAACTTAAAGTGTTGCACTTCTGTGTTAAGGCTGATGCTAATCCATTTGTCGGTCAATCATCACGCTACAAAATAAAAACTTCAAAGTTTTCCTCAGCTTTAAACTATCTTTTAGGCATTATATATGAAATTGAAAAATTGGAGCTGAGAAGGCCATAAAGCTATGGCTTAGTATTGAGAAATAGACTCTGGTGGCACTCACAAATCCCTTTAGCTCTACATATCATGGAAAGACAATAGTTGAATATGCTTAAAATATGCTTCAATCATTGTAGTCGATAACTATTAATTCCAGGCGATGTAACTCTTTTATTTATTATTCAACATGTAATCTCTTTATTGCTTATATGGTACTTCCACAATACTCAAGTAATGAGGTAAAAACGGCAGTTGCTGAATACGCTTTTCTGCATTTTTAGTATCTAGGCTTTATAATTGTAAATTAATACACATTGCACTAGACTTTTAACAGGTCTGTGGATATTTCCTCCTTGCAAATTGTAGAATATGTAAACAAGAACCTAATGAAATATTGATAAGTATAATAGGCTTAATCTCGCCACATATCCGTCCAAATTAGTGAAATACATTAACACCTAAATAACTTGCTTATCATTGTCAAATGGAATACATTAAAAATGAGTTAAGATAAAAGGTTTTAATATTAACCTCTCTCCAACTCGTAACATTAAAATGAGTCTATCTAACATAGTTTTACTCATTGGAAACTAGTAAATAGTGCGATGTGTTGAATCCTTTCTTTGGTGCATATCAATTTCTTTTAGTCAGCTTTCCAATGTGGCCAACATTCTAGATAGCTCGCCATCACGGTGCCCTTTGAACTGTTTATGTTAGATGGTTGGAGGCAATACGTAGGAAGCCATATTGCAAACTTCACTGATAGAATTCAGTTTCCACCAAACAAAGGACTAGACATATGACACCAGTTACTACTGTCCAATCGAATTATCCAATACAGTCCTACAGGAGGTCAATCGCAAGCACGAATAACTCAGTGGTAACGTCTCTGACTGTAGTACTAGGTGACGCAGGTTCCAGTCTCAGAAGAGACATAAGTTCCCTCAAGGTTGTAGATACGCCTTGCTGATTGGTGAGGGCCAACTAGCACGAGACTTTGGTCCAAGGCATCCTGACGACAGCCTACAACCATCTAACAGAGTTTTACTCATCCTCACCACTGCCTTGTAGAAAAACATAGTGAATATAATTAAACTGCTAAATTAAGTGTTGAAAGAATCTGTATATTTAAAACATATTCCTGACAAAAAGATTGACCCATACAAATCCTGAAAGTATGGTTATCATAATCATAGTAAGTTTGTGTAAGATAAATTCAGATAACATTTAAGAAATATATATTTCTCACGTAAGTTAAAGAAAGTAAAATTCGAGTAAATGCCGCACAGTAACTTAATATGTTTGATAAATACTTTTCCAGTAAGACACCACTGCAAGACATCCTAATTGTCACTTTCACTTTGTATCTCAACACTGACGTCAACAATTTATTCACTGATACAGTACTTGTTTAATCTTTTTCAAATAATTACTCATACTACTCATAAGTAAATAGATAAAGTTCTTAGGATTTTCGATACTTTAGGTTGGCTGTTTATTCCACACTAACACTATCGCATAGATTTCCCATCATAATAATATACAAGTATTCGTTTGTTGGGATTTACTTTGATTGGCTGGAGGATTTCATTACGAGCTGACATCGGTTAGAGAAACATTGGAAAACCTGGGAGTACTGGAGAGGTGTTTCGTCCTAGTTTGTGACTCTTCACAGCACGCACCCACCAGGGTCTCTAACGAGGACGAAACAGCTGTCCAGTACTCCCAGGTTTTCCAATGGTTCTCTAACCGAAATCATGATAATAAATACGGAATAAATAATAACGAGAAGATAAGTATTAACACTCAAAAGTTTAAACTATTATTATTATTTTCATCATTCAGTATAATAATATATAATATAATGATAGCATTGACAGTAATGTCTTGAAAATCAATAATGACATGAAATTCGCAATGAACAAATAAGTATACTGTATTGTGTATAGCTTGTTATAACGAAAAATGATAATGATTATTATTATTCTGCTTTATTGTTTACGAACTGAATTTCATTTGATGCGCTATTCATTACACAATTAAGCTGAAGTTCTGTTTTGACAAATATATTCCATTGTTTCAAAAGAGAATGTAACACAATACACACACATACGCACACACGTGTGCATACACGCACACATACAGGGAGAGAGAGAGATACATAGAGACGAACATTATATTATACTGTACACATGATCTGTCGAAAAAAACGAAATGTACTCGTAATATCTAAGGTGAAAAACAAAAATGTTAGTGCGTGAATGATATTAAGAAGGAAAAGAAGAAGAAAAACAATAGTATAGAAGAGAAATCAATTCACAAGAAAAAAAATGAATTAGCTAAAGAGGAAGCAAACAAAAACCAGGGATGGAGAGAATCAACATGTTTGTTTTATTCTCAAATAGTATGTTGTCTTGTTGTTGCTATCCCCAATTATCAACGTTATTGTTATTATTATTATTGCTGTTGACAAGGTGAATAACTACTACATGTACACGCCACACATATATATTGACATGAATACGCATGTATACACACACACACATTACATACAGCACATTCATGTATGCAGACCTTTATCCAGGCATACGCATCCATCCATGAAATGGATATAACTCAAGTACAGATAAACCACACACCCCAGTCATCGATACAGAGACTTATACATACGTGCTCGTACACGCATACACATATGCATGTAAACAAAGAGGAAACAGATATGTGAAAATCGACAAACATTCATCATAAAGAAATCTAATCGATAAGATGAATAACAACAACAACAACAGAGGAGTTTATTTCAGTAATCCACTTTCAAGTATTTACTAGCTTGCTTGAAATCTTCTTGTTGAGTGAAGCAATAATTATGGCGTTAGGAGTGATAAAATTATAAAATGTGTGAATTAATTAATTCTGGCAGATTTGTAAATGTAGGGAAAAAAGCCAACATTCAATGTAAAAGGAATTTACACACACACACACACAGTCAATCATCTGATCACGTATAGCAAGTTAATGTCAATCTCAGCATTTTGGACAATAAGACTGACAACAATCAACATGATAATGATGATGATCATAATAAATTAGATTTATTAAACAAAAAGCTGTGCGACAATTAAAAAAAGAGAGAAAATACACAAGTGAAGAGAAAAACAGCAGATACATGTGCGAGTGCAAAGGAATTTAAGTAGGATGTTATTTCAAACAAAAAAAAATGGGATGAAGTTTATTGCTGTTCAGTGAAAAAAAAGTGGGAAATTCCACGAAAGGAACACGTGAAAGTGAAATGAGGAGCAAGAAAAAGGTTAATTATTACACCCACCCATCTATCCATTCACACTCGCACATTCATATACCTTTTGTAGATAAAGGCTATAAATTTATACAATAAAATATTTCTATGCAAAATAGCATAAATCTATAAATAAAAAAAGAATAGTAATAGTAATCAATGAAATTAGGATAGAAATGTTGCACATTCACATATATATACACACACACACATAAACATTCCATACAATGAAGAAAGTAATGATGAGACATCAAAACACTGAAAAGAAGTAATTCGTCCTCACCCCCATGGCCCCTCTCTTTACAGAAATACACCCTTCGTTGTCCCATATACATTTTTTTTCAATGTTCACACATTGAATAAAGCTTTTAATTAAGATACATGTCAGACATATTCAGCAAATGGTACAAAAGAAGAGAAGAGAATGTAACAAAGCAACAACAAAAATGACAAAAAAAATGATGTATAATGTATACAAATATTGTTGTTAACAGAACTCCAGCATAAACAGCTTATATATACATAAACATATTTATGGTTTGTTTGTTTGTTGTTCTTTTTGAAGAAGAAGAAGACAAAAAATAGTTTTGGGAATGAGCTAAAAACATGTCCCCATTGAACAACCGGTGACTATAAAGGAATTTCAAATAAAATCAACAGTAACAATAAGAATAGACAAAAAAATGTTCAGGGAATGCAGAATAGGCAAAACACACACACACACGCACGCACACATACATACACGTACGTATAGACGTATTTGCATATACAAATTATCAAACTGAAAGACATTAATATATAACTAGGCATAAAAAAAATAATCCTTTAGTTTAATTAACATTAACAATCAAGGTAATTGTTTTATTCTATGTAGAAAATATAAATTAGACAAGAGAAACACTGAAATTTTAACTTTCACATGAATAGTTTATACGTTTATATAGACAACAAATATGCATTGAAACGTTTCTGTATGTGTTTGTGTAGACTGTAACTAGAATGGGAAACATAGGAACGTTTACAATAGGCAAGCGAGGAGATTGAAACACACCACAATCATCATTATCCACTTACACAAATAAACATTACACATACACATACACATACATACATACAAATATAGATATACAAACAAACGAAATGGTATACAAAACTGAAAAGTTGGACAGGACACTGAAATTATACATGTACATACGTATGAGGGAATATTGCTATTACTATTTGGAGATGGTGGGGTTAAGGGTGTGTGTGAGAGAGAGAGAGAGACTGTGAGGCACAATATTCAGTGAGATCAAATCGAAAGCACTTTTTGAGCAAAATTCCTTACAAATATGGCCACGAAAAAAAATTAGTAGAAAGAAATTTCACTTGCATTAATACAATCACCTATTTATGTATGTCATATATTCTGTAACTGCATACAACTTGAAACATACACATGTCAGCGGAGGGACAGGAAGTAGCCTCTTGTAGGATATCGCCAGTGGATCTGTAGAGTGAAGATAGTTCATCAGTAATACATGCCCTGTAGTAAAAAAAAGTATTGTATTGAAGATCGTTCCAGGGATATCTTATTATTCTTGTTTTTTTTTTACACTTTTTCACCAATTTGTTGAGAGTTACCACTTGAAACATTGTAGATTGGATTTTCATTCAAATGGCAAACACCAACGCGTCGTTTATTTGATGGTTCAAAGCTTACAGTATCATTACTATTGACCTGAAAAGGATCTGTAATGCTGACGGATACTTTTTCATGTAAATCGACAGCAGGTTTATATTGTTGATTTTGATGATGATGATTATCATGAGAACCTGGGTTACTTAAATCATTAGAATCTGGAGTACACGCTGGAGTTGCAGGGAAACTGTGAGCTTTCCGCTTAAGTGAGGAATTATTATCTATTGAATGAGGATGAATTGGTGATGTAGGTTGTGGATTGCATAAATGTCCTGGGGATTGATTTAAATTTCCGCCACCACCAACAAGAACACAACCACCACCACTACTTCCTTTTTGTGCTAATGCACCGGCAGGAATTGGCCCAGTTACGCCTTCATATGCTCCACCGATAATTTTAGCACCGGCTGGGATAGGATCAACAATATAACAATCTTCTCCGTGTAACCAATACGTTTTTTGACGACCTTTACCCTGTAATGTAATTAAGTTATAATTGAAAACTTAAATAAAGCTTAAAATCTCAACACTATGCTAATATGATTTTTAAAAAATATAAATAAAGTTGATAAATACTATTAACTTAGTAGAAACAGTTCAGTCAGTAAGCTCAGATAGCTGAAAGTATCTCACTGCAGCAGTGGCTAATAGAAGTTCGAACCCTCGACGAAACATCAATTCTGCAGTCTGCAGATACACCTTGCTATTAAGTGCCAAGAATCATGAAACCAGGGTAACTTTCTGACAGCTATAAAACATCTAACATCAGGACAGTAATTCAAGGTAATGCTTTAGTTTACGCTGTATTGTCAGTATTTTTATAGACCAGTTTGAAAGCAACCCATCGGAGCGACTAATATTTATTTTTGAACTACAAATATATGACAGTAACCAAGATGATCCGTTTACAACTTGTACAGAAACTCATACTCCCTTCTATCAGTTGTGATATTCAATAACATTCAGATACCTTGTATAAAAGTCTAGTGTTGGATTTTGAGAAAAGGGATAATTAACAACCAACAAGAATTGACTGTAACTTGCATTGTAGCGAAAACTCAATTTATTTAAATAACGACAACATAAACAGTTATGGAAATCTGTATCAAGTGGGACAGACACTTCAACGAAATACTACTGCAGAACATTGCAAAGGATAAGTTGGTCTGAATTCTATATGATTCCAAAGTATTTTTAATTGTCACCTCTTCTGTTTTATATGTTAGGATAAAACGTTGTGTTTTCTTCTGAAAACTTTGTAATTGGCGGGTGGGTGTAGGTTCAGTGTTGGTGAATTAACAGTAAATACGAAAAATGAGTACAGTTGACTATTGAAGAAACTAAAACCTCATAGACTGATAAAAGTAGAAACACTGATTTCATCATCTGACATGGAATTTTCGTCAGTCATATTGGTTACAAAATAACAAAACATTAAACATTGTATTTATTGTATAGGAAATAAACATTCAAGTGAACTGTACTCACTTTCATTTCAACCAAACCACGTTCAGTCATAATGAATGATTTAAACGTCTTCAGTACATCAAACGTTTGTTGACTGATATGAATTTTCAAAGCTAATAAACAAAAATAATGAACTTAAAATTGAGAAATAAAAACCATTACATAAATCACTATTATCACTCTCATATGTTCCTTTTGTACATTTTCACACCCTCTTCACACTTGTTAAATTAACACTCAACTACCTTTATTCTCACTCAATAGCAATTTTAACCTTATCAAATTTCTAACTTTGTGCTGTTGAGTACCACGTAATTTACAACTTTTATTTTTACTTCTAAAGCCACTTCCTAGTAATGATATCAATTATGTCACCCCCTACTACTCAATAATAGACCACTATAGATTTTTGGTAAATATACATACGACTGTACAGCCTCTGAAGATAATTTCATCGATAAAGAAAATTGTCTTCGCTGAATATGTCTTTTATTTAATTCATTACTTAATTGGTATTTTCGGTGATTTAAACACCATTACATTATGTATATACCTCCCAGTTGAATGATGTGTAACTGACCTTAACCGACAACAAGAAACATATCATATGAACCTCTTGTACAAATATACAGTCAAGCAAAAAATTAATACAGTCTTAGATACTCTTACTAATATAATTAATTAATTAGTTAATTAATTAATTGAAAAAGAAATTATATATGCATTAACTTTACACCAACTGGTTTGAGTTAACTAACTTATTAAGTTGAAATTAAATTAAAGCTATATGCGATGCTGCTGCTCATATTAATAAAGTTGTTTGAGAGTAAAAGAAACAAACCAAGCTGTTAACTAGCACAAATAAATCGATTAAATAATTAACTAATCAATTATTACATGAGATTTATACAGAAACAGAAGTTATGATGTAGCTTATCACATTAGTTTGACGAAAAAGTGGATCACTACTTAGTCGCTTTATTCGTATATATAATATAAACAAATTAGATTACTTAACAATATACATCCACAACAAATATATTCATATACATATATTGGGAAATTGAAGATTTAAACGTTGATTGGCTTAGGGTTTTATTTTTGTATTTCTCGATGATTAATCTACATTGGAGGAAAATATTCGATCTCTCTTGACAAGTCGGCACCTAAGGACGGACGTTTCAACTATACCTGCGGATTAACATTGATGTAATCTGGTGGATGGTGAATAGCAGTGGAATCCAGGGTGTGCATTGCGTATTGTTTGTCTCTCACCACTTAAGTGGCCCGGAGGATACAGTTTTGGAGTTTGAAACGATGGGTGCTAAATCCAAGTGTCAGCAGCAATGCTACCACATATTGGAGATTGAAGGTATATCCAGATGACGAGCCCTAAATAGGATGAAATGAGCATATCTTGGATTCCACTGATAGTCACCAACCAATAAATAACATTTATATATTTATTCGGTTAAATAATGCCTACACAAGTTAAGTGGCAACAAACGGCAATATGACTGAAATAATAACGCCTAGAGGAGGATACGAGACAGAGAAAGGTTATCCGTTTGTTGCAGTCAGAATTTTAAGCTAAAACTCTACAACCTGTTGTCTGTATCTGTTTACAACACCCAGAATACAATAGTAGGCTAATGTCATATTTCACTATACTACTGTTATAACACAACTAAATATATTTATGCTTTTATTGAATGAGTAATTTCTTCGCGTTCTTAGTCAAATTCAAACGTATAGTTGTCGTTGCTGATATCTCAGTGATAAAATAATTAAAATACGCCGGTCAACTATGGTCTACACAACACAATAACCCAAATGAGTAACGTGTGCTTAAATTAAAATAATAACTGGTAGTTTGAATGACTATTGCTTAGCTTGTTATTATGAGGCTGAGTCACTTCAACAACAGGCTAAAACTCAACGCATAAACCATAGGCACAAATGCCGATAAAAGTGTATTGTGGGTTGAGTGCGTGTGTGTGAGAGAGAAAGAGAGCAATTAGAACTTACGCAGACCGTTGCTTTCCATTCGAGAAGAAGTGTTTACAGTATCACCGAATAAACAATAACGTGGCATTTTCTGTCCAACTACCCCAGCACAAACTGGGCCTAACCATAAAAAAAGAAAAGTAATCACATGGATAAAGTAATAACAATAGTCAACTAAACAATAAGATAAACGGACTCACGACTTAGAACAAAATATGCAACAAAATCTACAGAATATCTTGTTCATCGATTATTGAAGTCGACATTAGATTACTTGTCTATAGACACGACTTTTTATCTTTATGTACAACAGTTTCTATTCACATGAGAATTTGTATTTTCAAGAATTCATCACAGGAGGTAAACAAAGAAGAATTAGGCATCCCATACATATTCTTAGTTAACCCTAGTTATCGAAGTGATGTGCACATCGAATATTATTACCACTTAAATTTTCAAGTATTGGTTTTGTAGGGATTTTGTTTTGTACTCCCAGGTTTTCCAGTGGTTCTCTAACTGATGTCAGCTCACGATGAAATTCTCCATGCTACCACTTCAATATAAGGGAGGAGAATATAACTATGTGTACACTTATTTCAAAATGAAATTCATTCAAACAAAATAATCCAATACAATCGATATAAGTATTCTGTATTTCAGATGATACAGTCATTGAATAGAAGTGAGAAATTAAAAACAAAACATAACAGATAGTTAGTTGTATGCACTCCTCCTCCCCCCAGCGGTATTGCTTAACCTGCATGTTGTCACACACACTAGGCGTGACTTATATCTTAATAATATAGATGACTATTTATGATATTATTTGAATATTTAGTCTAAATGAGATGGAGAGGAATATCATCGAAAATTGATTACTCAAACGAATTAGTCAACACTTTTATTGTGCTGAAGTATTAATAAACTGAATAGTTTATTTGTTTTTTGAAAAAGTAAAAATAAAAAAGAAAGAAAAAAACTCACCTGAATGTATACCAATTCTTAATTCTAAACGTTTTTCAGGTCGATGAGGAATTTGAAATTCAAAAATAGCCTTTAAAAATGCAATTGACATACGTGCTACTTCACGTGCATGTTTATTACCATTTCGTTGTGGCAGACCTGAAGCAACCATATAAGCATCACCGATTGTTTCAACTTTATATGCATCGAAATTTTCAATTATTCCATCAAAAAGTGTATATAATCGATTTAATAATTCTACAACCTATTTAATATATGATACAAATATAAAACATACAAAATAAATGATTTAGTAGAAAATAAAAAGATGACCAATAACAAATGATAAATATCACTGTAATACTGTTATGTAATCTCTATTGGCTCTGTCAAATTGACAATTTGTAAATTAATTCGCGATTTGTAGCTGACACAACTCCAGGAGAATTTTCACTACAGTTTCCTTTGATCTGTTTGATACCACAAATGAGCACAAAGAAAAGAATCATAAATGCATGACTCTATGTACTACTAATGAATTAATATGAGTAGTTGGAGACTACTCACTTCAAGCAGTGTAATGCTTATAAGTAAAACGTCAGTACAACTAACAATTCCTGTTTCAATGATTCCTATTGTGAAATTTCGCTACTATACCTGAACATTTATTTCAGTCATGCAAAAGAAAAAAGTAGAAAATACATACTAAATATTCAGGTATTGTTTTTGTAGGTATTTTGTTTGATTGGTTGGAGGATTTCATCATGAGCTGACATCAATTAGAGAACCACTGAAAAACCAACTGGGAGTAGTGGACGGCGGTTTCGTGCGAGTTCGGGACTCTTCATCAGCACGCACCCACCAGTGGCTTAATGGTCTACTAGCTCACTTGCCTTGTAACCAGAAGGTCCTGGGGTTTGAACCCCGGTGAGCGCGTACTTTTGAAGAGTCCCAAACTAGGACGAAACAGTTGGCTTTCCAGTACTCCCAGCTGGTTTTCCAATGGTTCTCTGACTGATGTCAGTTCATGATGAAATCTTCCAACCATTCTGAATATATTTAAAATAAATCCTACAAAATTTTTTCTTTAAAAAGTTCTCAAAGACTAATTTTGTCTAAATGAATCAGTTGTATGTACTTAGAAGGGTAAAGAGAAGGGTAGAATTCTAAAATAACGTGTCTAGAATTAGCTAAAATGAACAGAATGTCTTCTACCCATTCGTCTGACTTCTTTTCATTATTATCTGATGTCTAATCCATGCTACATGTCCTCTTATTTTCATCCGGGGGAAAACATAATGATAGTAATAATAATAATAAATGTATGCATTTTTTTGAAAGTGGAAAAAGAAGTAAATTAAAGATTTGCAAAATCGCATAGTTAATAAGCAGGCGAAGAAAAAATATTTACAATCTGTTTGTTAAATATTTTTGTTTGTCCTTCCTTCTCCACTTGTAATTTATCATTGTATTACAAATCTAGCCTACATCAAGAGTATCACTACCTTCAAGGCTTTCGTGTTACAAGGAAATCTAGAATTTTAAGTCACGACAACTCAAACCACAATATAGAAATAAATTAAATTAAAAGCTGAAAAAATAGGAGGAATTGAAGGAAAAAGATTCTGGATTGTTCTTCAATGACACAATAATAATAATTATAGATATATAATTTTTAGAAAACTTAAAATTAGTCTTTGAATCAATTGGATATACATGTAATGATTGTCTGAAGTAAATAATCAACTCTGCGACTGAAAATTGTGAACCACCTATAACTGATTATTATTATTTTTTATTCCTTCACGTTCCCAGTGGAACATAGGGCTTCAAGTTAGTGGTTTAAAGATTCTGTAGCAGCGTTTAATTTTACAGCATGGGGTTGCTAGCCTCATGCCCAACCTTTCTTCTTTACCAGCATTATTTCTGGCTTAGCGAGGTAAAGGAGTCCGTTGGCCGGGGATCGAACCCCGGACCATGAGCATGGTCGGCGAGCGTCCTAACCGCTGTGTCACCGACGCACACTTTTTATTATCAGCATCAGGCAAATGCAATGTACTTTGAGTTGTAAGGAATGATCTGCAAACTTTAGAACTTCAATTGTATTAACCCTATGATCTAATCAACAAAGTATTATTCATTGATTTCAACCAGACTTGGTTTCTGAAGTAAAACAGACAGTTCAGCTCAACGAAATAAACTTTACACAGATCTTTATAATTATGAAATCAGATGCCAAGTATACAGAGCGAAATTCCACAATAGCATTTGAAATTTAAGTGCTACAAAGCTGTGACAGTGTAGTGATAGGATCAAATCTAGTACATATAGATAAGATAGTCATTCATACTGGTCAGTGTTTTTAAAAGTTTCAACCTCTTTTATATGTACTTTTGATATTTTAATTTTGATTATTTCTCTGAAGAAGTTTATGCAATAAAATGTTAGAATTATTTATTTCACTTTACCTGAGGTGTATACACATATAAGTTCTACATTTATCTGCTTTACACTCAGTGAACAATTATTGTGAAACTATTCGGTCAAATTGTAATCAGAATTCGTATAAATGTTTCAGCTTCTGTCTTAATTAACTGTTAACTTTAGTCGGATCGATATTCATCACCAGTTTTGATCCAAAATAGTGCTGTTACATAAGAATACTGGCAATATTGGCTATTGAAGAGCTGGTTAGGAGCCTAGTAGAGAAACTGACTGACAAATCAATGAAGAAATTTTTCAGAATGAGTATTAGGTAGAGTAAGCATTCACTGAACTGAGTAATTTATTAACTAAGGTGTACTAAAAATAATGAAGCCTCAGACAATCATAAAAACTGATAAACACTGAGACTTATCAGGAAAATAAGCTTTCACTTAGCAGATACTCATCAACTAAGCAGCTACAAACTAAACATTTTATTGTTAATTCTGTAATGAATGCACAGAAACTTGTTATATTCAATCAATTTGAATATGTCCGGTTATATTTTCCAAATTCTTTTTTTTCATGTACAAAATACGAAGCTACCATATGGTCATCATTTGTTTGGCAATTGAAATGGTGAAATGAAAAAAAAGTGAAGGCATAGATTATATTGTTTTTCACAAACCTCTGTTAGAAGGTCAACACTCGACAATATAATTTTTCCTAACAATCGAGAACACTTAGAATTAATGATATTAGATGGTTGGAGGCAGTCGGCAGGAAGCCTTGGACCTACGTTTCGTGCTAGTTGGCACTCAACAGTCGGCAAGGCCTATCTGAAACCTTGAAAGAATACATGTCCCTTCTGAGAATGGAACCCGGGTCACCATCCAGTGCTGCAGTCAGAGACATTACCTCCAACTATCTAATATCATCAAATCAATGTGCAGCGTGATGGCGAGCTACCTAGAATGGTGGTCACATTGCAAACCTGATTGGCACAATTCAATCTGAGCCAAAGAAAGGACTAGACACATCACACTAGTTACTAGTGTCCAATAAAAACAATTAGAGTTAGTTCATCAAACGTTGTGTTATGCTGAAAGGTGAGAAGACACACGTAACTCGTAGACCAGTAACTCCATTAACCTTCTGTTACCTAGATCTCTGAGTATAATTGTAACAGCGCCTATAAAACGATTAAACTGTATACTGCAGATGCTTTGACAGAATTATTAATTAAAACTTTATGTTTATTACATCATCGATAATTCTGTCTCATAGAGTAGAATGCATAGTGCTGTTAGAAACTAAACATACGGTCCCCAATAATTACTTAGACCCCTTAAATGTACGAATAACGATGTACGTTGAAAACAGTTTTTATACTGTTTAATTTCAGTACCGTAATATTCTTAGTCAAAGAATGACGTGAACTTTTAGTTCAATGAATTGTTTAAGCACTGGCTAACTCTAGTCATCAAAAAGCAACAACTTTATGCTGGGAAAATACAAAAGGTACAACCAATAATAATATAACACTATAATAATTGTTTAGGAAACTGATTTTCGTCAAATGTTTACTTTTTTCTGTCAGTTAGCTATAGTTAAGTGATAATCATTTATTGTCATAAATACACTTTTCCCCTAAAATGGTCAACCTTTAAAGTTTGTAGTGTTTTAATTGAATTGTTTAAAAATGGTTTACTTTAGTCATGAATTTGAATTGTCACTTCTTTTAGGATGAACAGTTGTCATCAGTTCAAGTAACAACTTATGCATATCTTCTATTCGATTATACGGTAATAACAAGTATAATAGAATTATCACTTAATACTTACATTAGTTTTTGTGGAAAAATATTATCACCATGATTGGACACCAGTAACTAGTGTGATGTGTTGAATCCTTTCTTTGGTGCAGATCGAATTCTTTTATTCAGCTTTCCAATGTGGCCAACATTCTAGATAGCTCGCCATCACGATGCCCTTTGAATTGTTTATGTTAGATGGTTGGAGGCAATACGTAGGAAGCCATATTGCAAACTTCACTGATAGAATTCAGTTTCCACCAAACAAAGGACTAGACATATGACACTAGTTACTACTGTCCAATCGAATTATCCAATACAGTCCTACAGGAGGTCAATCGCAAGCACGAATAACTCAGTGGTAACGTCTCTGACTGTAGTACTAGGTGACGCAGGTTCCAGTCTCAGAAGAGACATGAGTTCCTTCAAGGTTGTAGATACGCCTTGCTGACTGGTGAGGGCCAACTAGCACGAGACTTTGGTCCAAGGCATCCTGACGACAGCCTACAACCATCTAACATCAATATTACGACTGGTAGTGTGCGGCATGATATAGATTGATAAGAAGAGGCCGAAATTGGAATCAACATTTTAAATCAATGGATGAAGAGGCAGAAATGTTTGTCCCTCAATCTAAATTTGGTTTACATACGGGATATGCAATAATCCCATTGGTCAACTTGTTTGACCTTGGGTTAATCACTAGAAAATCAGAACAATTTATTGTCCTCTGACATAGCCAAACTGCACTGCGGCTATGAACGCATATGTATTTTTCCCTGATAAAGATCCTTAAGCAAGTCTCTTATCTTTTCCCGATACAGTAATAGTAGTGACTAGTAATTTACATACCTGCATTGGAGTAGATTCAGCTGATAGTGATGTAAATCCGACAATATCACTGAAATAAATCGTAACCATTTCAAAACTTTCTGCTGTCACTGGTTGATTACGGAATAATTGTTTGGCTACAGATCTAAAGAGAATAAAACAATAATATGAACAGAAGATGGGTACAATTGAATACATACACACATACATGCATATGCATAAATACACATACATAGACATACATACAAATACTAAATCTTACTAGTACCCACCTTGGCAACATTGAATATAATAAATCTTCTGTTTTCTTTTTCTCTTCTAGATATTGTGCTGTACGCTGTTCAACTAATTCTTCTAAATTATTCGTATATTGTTCCATACGAGAGAGTAGATTATCCAAAACATTATTACTGTCTCCTGATCTGTAGGGATATTTTTTTTAAAACAACAACATATATTTAGAGAACTACAGTACAACAAGATAAATGTATGCATGACTGGTTAGCAGAGACTTCATTATAACTATTATTATTTTAATTGAAGAAAATTAAACTTGATTAAAGAAGAATACATAACCACTTCACAAATACACTTAAATATTGACTTAGTTTGTGTGTATGTTTTAAGATCTAAGTAATATTACTTTGAAACGATCTCAGTGGAGCAGATACATTTTGACTTAATAGTATCACACTTCTTTACTAGCCACACCTTTTCTTCTTTTCATAACAATAAAAATGACAAAAAAAAGAAGGAAGGAAGAAATCATCCTCTACAGTCTTTCATTACATCTATTAATCTGGATGAAAATGAATTCATAGATTAACTTACAACCCACAGAAAAGCCATATAATCGCTGAAGTGTCAAAAAGTACACCAACTTATAACAATATCAGGTATTTCATATCATTTCTTTACTAGATAAACTTGAACAAAACGATTACAGTGACAACAACAGGTTCAGTGAAATGAAAAATAACTCAAGACCAGATAGCCGACCAGAAAAGATTATCAACAAGGGGGGAATTCCGGGAACCAACCAACCAACTCAGCAGGAACCAACTGTGCAGCAAATATGCAGGAAGAAATGGAGGCGGATTGGTCATACTCTGAGAAAACCATCAAGTGACATCACAAGACAGGCCCTCGAGTGAATGTGAATGTGAAGCGGTGAGTTGGTCGTCACTGCGAGGGTGACATGGAGGAGTTCATGTGGAGAGGAGATGAAAGGATGTGGGGAGACGTGGAGCCAGGTCAAAATGTTCGCAGAGAACCGAACGCAATGGAGACGTGCGGCTGAAGCCCTATGTTCCTCTAGGAACTAAAGAAAACAGTAATAATAAACAATCAGCTTAAAGAAATTCAATAATTTCCTTAAGCTGTACTCAGATGATGAGAAACCTATGAAATAAATGGTGACACCACCATCTTACTCTGCACAAGGCGTTCTTCTAGCTTCATTCAAGTTTGACAGCTATTTGTGTGACTCGCTACTGACTATAAGTTAAGTGAAGAACTTAAATATTTCGCTTCTATCACAAAACAGAACAAATTACCTAAGAAAAAGCAATGAGACAGAAGAGATATTTTAAGCAGTGGGTCTTTCTTCAGAAATTCGGAAAGTACGGCGTATTTAGTGCGAAGTACAAAGGTCAGTTAACTTCTAACTAACTAACAGTAATCTCTTACAGGGTGTTTTAGACTTTCGTCTTAAATGTTTATTCATGGTTATAATTTAGAGATGAGTAAAAGTTATCACTTTTGATTAGGCCTAGAAAGTTTGACCTTCGAACATTTCGGTAAACAGATTGGTTTGAATTTCAATAATGGCCATCTTCAAATTTGAACTAACTCCCTATACGGCAGACGAGGTAGTACAGTTTTATCGGTGAGTAAAATAAAAAATAAAAATCCGTTTTTTTAGTTACACTTGATATCTTAAGTCGATCACTCTGTAACCACATTCAGGTTTACGCTGTATTACTCTAGAACAAATATTTTTCGGCTGTCGAAACTCTTAATCAGAATAATAACTATTAATAAACCTTTGATATGACAGTCAAAAGTCGACTGAAATTAAACGACATATTGCTAAGCCAATCAAATACATGAAAATAATTGTGTTCAAACACTAGCTCACTTGTCATCCTGTCTTCTGAATGACTCAGCGACGAGCCGCATACCTTCCGTCTCGAAAGTCAGGTTTTTCACAAACACTTAATTCATACTCTTATTAAAACTAGTCATCGAAATGATGTACTGTGCATTATGTCTTATATTTTGTTAAATTTAACTCTGACACAGTGACGCGATACCACCTTGCATGCAGATGAACACAAATGTAAATTAAAAATATTTAGGCTAGAATAAAAGTAAGCAAAAATAAGTGGACAAAAAAGAATCTAAAGTTTGACCATCTTAATAAACAAAACAAAAATGTGAAATTTACTAAGTAGCCTTCATACTTGCATGTTTAAAGCCCTGATGCTTATAATCGTCTGTAAAGTAACTAACACTCACTTGTTTAATTTTCGCATAGATAATTTAATTGATTGAAAATCTGGTCTCAAACCTGGATCATCATCCCATGCCTGACGGATTAATTGAACTAAGTCTTCAGAACATCCTTCAAGGGAATCCAATGTTGGTCGAAATGGGGGTTTTCTGCACTCTCTGACTTCTTTTATAATATACTAATGTGAAATTGCAATAAAAAGGCACATATATGTATATATTTATATAAATTGAAATAATAATTTAAAAGAGGAAATCAAGGTTCGAACCTATTGGTGGTCACTAGTAAACAGTTCAGAATTACAGCGAAACCAGTACCCACTGCCTCCTCGTTTTCTATGATTCACTAAATGCGATTTTGGTTTATCGCTGTATCTACATTGGAACAATTATAACACATATTCGAAGATTTACAGGCGAAAACCAACAAGTTAGCAGAAGAGGCAGAAAAGAGACGACTTCAAATGAACATAAATAAGGTAGAGGTGGTGAGGATACCTAACAACTGACAACAACAACAACAACCAACAATCTCTATCGGCTAGAGAAATGTAAAGGAAGTCACCTCTTTCAGTTATCTTAAAACCACCGTTTCTCCTACAGTTGAAACACAGGATGTCAAAGCCAGCCACGATCAAAAAACCAAGACACACACTCATTATTCTGAAATCAGCCTGGAAATTAACTCAGAACAAGGAATGAAAACCGGATTTCCAACACTAATGTATGTAATCAGTGCGTGTATTCAGTTCAGGGACTTGGTGGGCGTCGCTTCGCGGAAAGCATTTTCAACAGGTTGTAGACTTTATCAACAGTTGCTTTCATTGTCTTGATCCTGGAGATCAGATGGAAGGCTGGAATTGATAAGCAACAAGAGCTCAGGGAACTAAGCATCTGATGATCTATCACTCAAGAAATACGCCGAAGGCGATTGAGATGGGTGGGTCATACACTGAGGTGACATTATCCTTGTACACTTAAAACTGGATTACTTCATCCATAGACATTTTATTAAAAACAAAATGGTGATACAATAGAATTGATCTACTGTTCCAACTTTAGAGATATAACATGTTAATGAGATGCCATCCACTCCAATCCTGTACAGTATCATCAACTCACTAATTTTTATTCATTTAAATGAAGCTATTTTTTCATACATTAAAATTAATGAATACAGTATATACATTTTACAATAAACTCACATCTGGTTCACAATTTTTAAAATTTTGGATATAAAATACACCTTTACGATATACAATTTCCTGACAGACAATAGCGAAACTATAAACATCGCCTTTTATTGATTCACGTGGATAAATTATTGTATCTGCATCAGGCAATAACTCTGGCGCTGTCCATAGTAAATCTACAGCGAGGAGGAGGAGAAGAAGAAGATGATGACGAAATGGAATATAGAAAATAAACAAAAAAAAGTCTGTATGTTTATTATAATAATGTTAAATGAAAGATATTGAATGAATGTAGAATATAATCTCAAATATAAGTATATCACTTTAAGGCATTTTTACCTCTCTGAAATACGGTATCAAAATAAATACTTTAAAAATAAACGCACATGAACACACTCGCACACACGCCTGCTTATATAAAGAGAGACAGGAAAACAGGCTAAAATGAAAGAAGAATTTCAATCACCTGATGTGAAACTGTAGTAGTACAGTCTTTACGTTTGAAATAATGAATAAATATATTTCGATAAAATCGGCTGAACTATCGTATAAGATCACGTCCTCCTCCTCCTCTTTATTTTTTTTCTCTTCATTCAAATAATCTTCCAGTGGTAAGTTACAGGCAAAAATTGAGGCAAAGTTAAACTATTATATAACCAAAACCACAGTGGCTTCGAACAACCAATCATAATTAATATGCAAAAAAAGTCCTATAATCGTTGAAACCTACACTAAAATATATTGCAAACATGGTATTACACTGCATATGTGTATAGCTTATGTGTTGTAAGAATGTCTCCCAGTCATTTCACAGATGATCTACAGAGAAATCGCACCCTGCGCGATGTATGCATTCATCCAGGTGACTGTAGCTCATGATAATTTGTGATCCGTTGATATTTCTGACACTATTCTTCAACCTACTCCTAACTCTAACCATAATCCTAACTCCTAACCCTAACTTTAACCCTAGACCCTAAACCTTATTCTAAAAAGTCATAATCCTACCTAACAGTATGGATTTGCAGAAAAAGTACCTAGTAAATCAGCAGAATACTGTATCTATCCTCTCCAAGTCCAAAAGGGTAGAAATGATTTGATTTGGAATGACATTTCATAACATTCCCTGTATCTAATCGGTTCTTGAAGGTTGATCTTTGAAAGACCTTGACTTTGGCTATGATACTTTAACTTCTCCGAGAATTGATTTGTGAATAAATAACAGAAGGATTTTTTTAAAATCATTTGTAAAGGAAAGAATCTCTTATAACAAATGATGATCCAGTGCATCGAAATCCTGACAACGTAGAATTAATAAAGTCTATTAACATGGTCATCCAATATGAGACTTCCTTAGATAACCTTTATAATTTGTAAACTTTGGAAAATAATTGTTACAGCTTTTTTTAAAAAAACAAAAACTCTTATTTTTATTGTTTTTTTTAAACGATACTGTTAAATCCTCCAGTCAGAAATGACTCTTATATAAACGATTAAAATGCTGCATATTTCACAGCACTCTATACAGCTAAGTTTTCTTACTTCTCATTATTTGACTGATACTACTCCCATAAGACAAGTGAACTATAAACAAAAGTGGTTGTATAAGATTTGTTGTTCTGTAGACTGGTAGAAGTTTCCTTAATGAGAGATATTATTTAGTACCCAGAATGTCTCTCTCCAAGTATACAAAACGACTATTTTACTATAATTAAATATCATTAATCAGACCATTTTAGAGCCACACGTGTTGGTACAAACTTTCAGTTCAGCAAGTAGATCTTCTGAAGTTCAAATTCTGATAGTACACCTTATAAAATCAATCAAATTTTTGCCTTCTATGCTGATTCACAAATAACACTTCCTCGACTGATTTCAAAAGTTCTGTTAACAAAAACTCAAGGCCTTAAAATTAACCGAACTAATAAATCGTTATATGACGTGATTCATATTTCAATAATGTCATAGGCGAATTGGTTAATTTAAAGCATTAATAAGACAAGTAGCGCGAGAGACAGGCGCATATAGACAAACACATGCTGAGTTTAAAACAGAGCATCCTTTGGTAAATTCGGATAGTTATTAAAATATGACGTTTATCTGAAAAATCACATGTATTTTGCACAACACATTTCTGACATTCAAATGTTGGTTTGTAGGGATTTGATTGGTTACAGGATTGCATCATGAGCTGAAATCAGTCGAAGAATCATTGGAAAGCCTGGGAGCAATGGATAGTTGTTTCATCTTAGTTATGGACTCTTCACATTACACGTCTCCATGACCTTCCCGGTTACAAGGCAAGCTAGCAGACCATTAAGGCACTGGGATCCGGTCAGAAGTCGCAGTTCATGCTTCAGTGGATCAGATTTCAATGGTTTACTGGTCTACGAGATTGCCCTGTAACCAAAAGGTCTTGTATTCGAACCCTCAGGGATGTGTGTCGACGAAGAGTCCCAAACTAAAACGAAACAGCTTTCCAGTACTCCCAGGTTTTCCAATGGTTCTCTAACATTTCTGCCAATTTGATCACACATTTACTCGTCATTTCAATTTATGTTGAAGGTAGTTAGTAGGACTAGCGGTGTAAAACTCAGTCAGCTCGTCACTACATTAGTGGATAAGCATCTGAATACATGCGAGAAATGGTCTAAAACCATACTCTCTGATCCCCAACTCTCTCCTTGCATCTCATCAGGTAGAACCAGAAATCAGTACAAAATAATATATGCTCGTACAACCAAGTATAGGAACTCAACGATACCATATTTGGCCCGTGTTCTAAGTGACAGGGACAATGTTAAGCGTGAAACTTATGACTTGCTTTGTTGTTAATAACATAATTTTGACCCTTGTTATTTCCCCCTTATACTCTCTTATTTGTACTCTATAGTGAACAACCTTCTTAAACATACTTAGCTACTTAATTTTATTATCATTGACTTACTTTTTTGTACTTTACTCTATTCCTTCTTTTGTATATTTACTGGGTCCGACTATATTATCACTATGATTATTACAAAACTGTCCTGTCATTAACCATCATGTAATATTAATTTTTTTTGGTGTTCTTTGTTCGGCACTATTTAACTGACAATCTTGTTTGCGAACGCCACTATCACCATCTTAAAAATTTTGTATTATGCATGATTACTCACACTACCACTACAAACACTGCATTAGTGCTGACAATAAAGAAAAACACAACCTGAAATGTTTATTTTATGATTGTTTAGTGTTGTTCAATCAAATTAACTGATCATCTTGGCTATAAACATTCTTAAGAACATCTCAATAATTTCTTGTATGATTATAGCTGTCACTGTTCACCACGCATACACATATCATAGCTTCCACTACCCAGTACTGAAATATTTTTTCATCATTGGTGTTTATCTTCCTTTCTACTTGGTACTTTTTTTTGCATTTTTTCTTTTGTTTTTCTGTTATTTCTGTTTCTTTTTTGGTTTTTTACTGTGTTTTTTATATTTATTTATTTTTTTGTAATACTCCTTTTAAATGTACGGTGAAATTAGATGCAATATTGTAGATATGTGCTGAAAATTCCACACTGCACCACAAGTACTGTTTCTGGAATAAAGCGAAATTGTTATGTTATGTTAAAAAAATGAATTAAATGAAAGGTCGGGTGAAACAAACGAAATAATGAGGGACTAAGGAGTAAGGGGGATAATAATTGACACTACATTTTGTAATAAAATCTGATAAAGATTACTAGAGTAAGTTATGGTTAATAATGAGTTGTTTTTATACACAGAGAAAAGGGGAGCTTAATTTTACGAATGGCTATTGCTTGCTTTAGTATGAGAACTTGACAGTTTTTACAAGTAATCATGAAATCTGTTTTGATATCAGTTTTGTGATTCATATCAATACTATGTTTTGTTAAAGACAGGGTTAGTATTCTGTTACTTGCGTTTACTGAGGTTTTGAAGTTCAACTGTTTTCCCAGCAATGTAATAATACGTTCTCTCACAAACACGTGCAAACCGTGATTGCTCCTCATTAAGTGTTTATGATCAGGCAAACATGTAAAAAGGAATACAATATGAGATGAAAAGTAATCATATGTGTAATTTCGAGGTTTATGGTGGTGTATATTTTTCGTTTTTTCCAATAATTATAAATGGGGCTCATTAGTAAATTTCATGGAATTTAGTCTCTGTCTTAAAATCCTACTACTTGTTATGAATCTGTCAGTTAATTTGATACAAACATCCGCCGTGGGGACACAGTAGATTGTGGGCTTTGAACTAAACTGTCCTATAAACTGGTTTGAAAGCTTCAAAGGATATCAGATTTTTTTTAACAAGTGTATCGGACAATACTGTATTGCCATCATTTCTTGCATCAGTTGTACAGATACGCTGAATCCTCTCACAAATAAGCATTTAACCAAACATCTCTTTTATTGAGATGGATGGAAACTGTGGAAGTTTAAGTACTACTCTGTCGGAGTAGGCTTTCTGTAATCCGATCACTTTATTGAGCCATCCTCTCTCCGACTGTAAGTTTTGGAATGCGAGTTAATCATGCTGACGCAATAGTCAACCATAAAATTAAGCTTCCCTTTTCTCTCTGTATAAAAACAACTCATTATTAACCATAACTTACTCTAGTAATCTTTATCAGATTTTATTACAAAATGTAGTGTCAATTATTATCCCCCTTACTCCTTAGTCCCTCATTATTTCGTTTGTTTCACCCGACCTTTCATTTAATTCATTTTTTAACATAAATTGAAATGACGAGTAAATGTGTTATTCCAAATACACCTGATTTTTCAGACAAACGTCGTATTTTAATAACTCTATCCGAACAGATAAGGAATTAACACTGAAATAGAAAAGTCTATCCAGTAACTTCTGATTGCAGTTATTCATCTGATCATATATTTTTTTTATTACAGCTTGATTCCACACTGCATTTTCGGTACAAGTATGGAATTTTCAGCATGTGATATCGGTAGCCCAAATTTTGCAGGCCAACCATAGATATCAGGTGTTCATCAGCAGGGGATCGAACCTCGGAACATGTGCATGGTTGGCGAGAGTCCTAACCACTGTGCCACCGATTTATGTAAATATAATACACACTGTGATAATTGGAGTTAAGATATAAATCCTAAACCACAGTAAGACTCAAACTAGATGCCTCTAAATTATGATACCAATGATCTGCTTACCAAATGAAGTACAGAAAAAAATTACTGTTAGTTTGTTCAACACACAGAGAGATGATAGATCTGTCTGCTTCTGTAGGCTGTTTTCTTTTTTTTGGTTCTTATTACAACTACTACTCTATGATCGGTTAAGCTCATAAGAGAATGAAAATCTTTCTTATCAAATGGATGCACAGAATTATATTAGGATATTGTGTAGTGGAAGCTAAAACTGAGAGCGAAACAAACGATTATTTCAACAAATATTTTCTCACTGTCTCTATACGCACATATCACTAATACCCAATAGGTAAGCAAAAGAAGGAAAAACAAGGGGGAAACTGAAAACTATTTGGTTGTATGGTATCAACATTTACTACATTCCATCTGTCCGCATTCTAGTTCAATTTACTGCTGTCATTATTGTGTTAATTGTCTGTTTCGTTTTTGCACAAAAACACACACACACATCCGTCCTCCGTTCAGAGATAATAATGCTATTCACATTACCCAATGATTGTAATAATCTAACGAACTGTTTAATGTTTACAGCTTAGGGAAAAAAGAACTTGAATCTGTATCCTTTAACAGAGCCGAAAGACAATATTGTTATTGGGGTGCAAGTGAACACACATAAACAACCAGTACCAAATATAAGAGGATATAATAAAGATATTCATATATTACGGTGTTGACACTGTTTATATTATCATTCATCTTAGCGAATAAAAATTAATATGTGATAATGTACATTCAGAAATAATAATGCGAGTGTTATTGATCAATTACAATCAGATGGGAATAAGACGAGTGTTTTTATAGTCATAATAAGTAACTTGTTAGAATGCTGTGATGTGCTTGAATTGAAGTAGAATTTTGAGATTATTTATTATCCTCTTCTGATTTGACTGGCTGAGCTTTTTTCTAAATTACTTATCTTCTCTGAGCCAACCATTCTTACCTTAGCCAAATTCTTATGTTCTGATAATCTCAATACTTCTGATCTACTAGTTTGACCTATATAGTTGACCTCACAGTCATTTTGTAAATTATATTATTTTGTTTAATTGGGTCCACCGGGTCTTTTAGCCTACAGAGCTTGTCTCTGAGTGGGTTTGTAAGTTTGAATGCCACCCAAATTCCTGCTTTATTAAGAATCCTACATAGGGTCTTAGATGTCCCCTCCTTATATGGTATAACAGTAGGCAACTAATATTCTTTCTTATTTACGTTATCATTATTAGTTTCACAATTATTTTATTTTATTTTTGGATGCTACAAACTCACTCAGAGACAAGCTCTGTAGGCTAAAAGACCCGGTGGACCCAATTAAACAAAATAATATAATTTACAAAATGACTGTGAGGTCAACTATATAGGTCAAACTAGTAGATCAGAAGTATTGAGATTATCAGAACATAAGAATTTGGCTAAGGTAAGAATGGTTGACTCAGAGAAGATAAGTAATTTAGAAAAAAGCTCAGCCAGTCAAATCAGAAGAGGATAATAAATAATCTCAAAATTCTACTTCAATTCAAGCACATCACAACATTCTAACAAGTTACTTATTATGACTATAAAAACACTCGTCTTATTCCCATCTGATTGTAATTGATCAATAACACTCGCATTATTATTTCTGAATGTACATTATCACATAGTGATTTTTATTCAAATATCTAGTCAATTCCAGACACACGTGTATTTAAATGAATGAAAAAGTTGTGTGAGTAGCTTGATATGATTATAAGCAATAGTTTGTGCTCGAAACGTCATCAGTTAATATTACTGTGTAACACTGTGTGACTTATCAAAATAAAATCTTATCTATAATGGAATTATACTCTACCACAGTGCCCAAGTTTTATATTTATATAAATACATTCGAACTATTAAACCTAAACTATACATTCAAAAGAAGTTCATACAGCCATTATCCCTCCATTGACCTAATAAGACATAACCGACTGATGACTTCTACACCATCCCTTACTTATATTTTCAACCCCTCTCTTATCATCCCTTAATCTTATTACATCTCCATTAAAAACGCGTTTCATTTACTTCCCTTACAACCTTGCTTTACTTAATCGGTTCATTTGTTTTTTTAGCCTTTATCGACTACTTCTACCGGAACACTTGTTTTTTTAATCATGCTGTTTTTAGTTATTCGTGTTATCACACATTGACTCACTTTTTCATCCTTATTATTGATAAAACCATTATTATTACTATTATGACTAATTGCACAATTTACATTCACCATCTTATTATCCAATAGACATAACACCATGATTGGTTTATAGTTGATTTTTTATTTGTTAAGTTATGTATATTAAAGTTAAGCCTGAAGAGATCTAACTGAAAACAATATTGTTCGCTTAAATGTGTTGTTATAAATACATGAGAAAAAAAACTGATCAGAAGGATTATGAAAAAAACCCTTAGAAAAGAATAAAAGTATCTGATATTGTTTTCAAAAGTTTAAACGCAGATAACACATCACACATTCAGAAATTATATATATATATAATTAAAAGAAAAACATTAGAAAAGGAGAGGGAAGTAAACATTTAAGTTCTCAAGACAGTAAATAATGAAAACATTTCGGTCATTTTGAAAAACTTTAATTGTTGACTTTTAGGATTTTATAGTCATAACTTACACCTCACTGAATGGCTCAGTGACTTCTTGGCTTCATAACATGCACCAGCTAATATGGTTATGACGCCTAACGCCTAATAGTATTCGCTGAGGCAAATGGATTTTTGACTAAGTTACACATTTTTCAGCCACCTGAATGATTGATTTAGCTTGCTCATTTTAATTTCAAGTCTCACTGTTATATACGCAACAGACTGTAGTCAATAAACTGTAGTCTTTTCACATCTTCTGATTTCAATATCCATTGGCTAAGTTGATCAATTCTAGTCACCAAGCCAAAAGAAATTCTTCAATGGACTTATATTGATGTATAGTGATTAAAAGTGATAAGATATTTGTTACTTCTAAATTTGATCTGACCGTTTCGCCTAATATCGATTTTTTCTGATGGTAATACTCAAGCATCTTCATCTACCACTGATTAGTGAGTTATTTCCCCTATTGACAGGTTTTGTTTTCATCAGACATATATATCATATGAAATAATCTATCAGTCTTCTTCAAGCTTCCTGTCTTCATAAGAAAGTTAACGTTCATGAGAAGAAAATGAAGGAAAATGTTGTATAGGATTGAGTCTTATTTCAGATAGAATGATATTGCATTGTAGGATATACTGTTAATGAATATTAACTTGAAGATACTGTACAAGGAGTAAATAATTTGCAGGAAATTACACTGGGATTCTGTATTGTGTGTAGACATAATTTCTAAAATAAAGCTGATATTATTATTATTAGCCGCGATAGTACAAATATGCTATACTTGATCTATGCATACCAAATGCTTATCACTTTCACACACGCACATACACACAGGGGAACACAGGCCTATATGTCCTACTTTATCATGAAAAACGAATAATAATAATCAAGAACATAGATAATATAAATGGATAATAATAACTTACTTCTATGATAAATGTAGCTGCCAACTTCTGATTCTGATGGTGGTGGGCCACGGATATGCGGTAGACCGAAATCAGTGATTTTTAGTACAAAACGTGAATCTACTAAACAATTGGAACTTTTCAAGTTACCATGTGGACCAAATATTTGATGGAGATACATAACACCCTTAAGATGAAAATTCAAAAACAAAAGAATGATGAAGCTTATTTTACATTTCCTAGTGTTTCATTTGAACTACATTAATAAACAAACACAGAATAAGTTGAAGGATTTCATCATGAGCTGACATCGATAAGAATAACCATTGAAAAACCTGCAGGGAGTATTGAACAGTCGTTTCATAAGCCTAGCTTGGGACTCCTCAGTAAAACGCACTCCACTGACAGGGTTCGAACCCAGGACCTTCTGGTTACAAGGCTAGTGAGCTCATAGACCATTAAGCCACTGGGACTCGATCCAATGGCCAAACCATGAATTTCGCTTCTGTCAATTTACGACATAGCGCGTCCACTAGCCAATGTCTTCGGCGAGTATTTGTCCTCACGCCCGACCTGCTGTACCCTACTGGTCAGGGCTTCCCACTAGAACCCCAGAATAGGTGGCCTATTCTAATACTCGAAATGCATAATGCTTGTTAAGTTAACAAATTTACAGTGGCAAAAATCAAGTGACTAATCAATCCAATGGCAAACATCAGATAAAAAACCGTCATCTTCACCACTTCTTTATCGGTTTATATAGAAAATAATGACTATAATATTTTCACTGAAAGCACCATTATAAACATTATCAACTGATATGTTCATTTCATCTAAACATTCCTACTTGCATGTATTAAGGTATATTTATTGGCAGTAAACAATTTCACCTTAAATATACTGCCTATAGGGTCATTTTCTCCAACAATACTCAAATGACGTGAACGAAAAAATTGGTTGATAAAATTTAACCTTTTGTGACCTGAAAATTCTGGAATTCACCTCACAAAATTACTTCAATTACAAAAATAAAAACTACGTTAATACATTTCCATTAAATAATTTTTTCAAATATTGTCAAATTTTGCACTGAGCCTATTTTTTTATTCAACGCAACTAGTCCCAGGTTCAAATTCTGCCCTACCTACCTACTTCATTCTGAGTAGCTAAGTAGTATCATTAGCTCTACCACAATAAGTGTGGTTCGCAACCTGGTAAATGAAAATATTTTCTGCATAATTGAGTTTTAGCTGACTAACTGCTTCTAAAACATTCTTCAGCAAATGAGTAACCCAGATAACTACGTGAATGAGATCAGCTTCTGATGACATGAGTGTTCACCGAGCTGCTCAGCATTCGTGTACACCTTTATGCATTTGATTATGATCTAGAATTTAACTGGAAGAAATATTGACATTGCAATTAGTGATACACTGATTGCAATTTGAGTGTCTAAACCAATGGTCTAGAACTCCATTGGTTATGTGTACCAATTCTCCACTTACTATAGATTTCTGGCTATTTCAATTAATAAAAGGGATGAAAATAAAAAATGACAACAAAACAGTTAGATAAAAATATCACCTTAATAAAGTATAAATTCAGAGACTGAAAGGTGAAATAGAAGAGGTAACTGCAAACTTGTTGAATGATTCATTAGGCGAAGGAAAACAGTGATGATATGATCTGTGGTTTTTTAATGCTTTCCATTTATCATATTTCACTCCTACCCTACCCTTTACCCAACACATCTGAACTTTTTCTGATGGGATTTCCTTGATTTTCCCTAAGCGTATTCTGTAACGAAATTATTTATTAGTAACTCAATGTACAGATATGGGTAAAATGCATCAACCATATATCAAATTACAATTTGCATATATCTTCCGCATTGGATCTCTTCATGTTCTTCAGTTCATGTTTTCTATGTTGTTTCACAAGAAATGTTCATTTCTTCTTTTCATCATTAAAATCCATATCTCCGCTTTTCTATATTCTTGCAGACGACAGATTTATATTCTACTTATAGGTCTTATCAGTAGTACATGTCACAATATGACGGTTATAACAAGGGGAAACAAGTCAAAATACACATGTAGTTCCTGCAAATTCAGTTATCATCATCTTGTGCAAAGCATATGAACAGCACGTGAAAGTTGAGTCGGATAACTTTAAAATTCTTTAAAATCTGTTAATGATTATTCACCTGTGTTTGTGTATGTGTCGCTATCAGAATGAGTCAAGACGACAGTTATTTAGAGCTACACTTTCAATGAAAATTCTAGTCATTATCTTCGGTTCGAAGTTGGTAAACAAAAACTGTTAGTATTTGTCAATCTGAGACATTATCATTATAATCAGTAGTATTAATTCATATTGCTCAATATTATTATGACAATAATGAATTTCACTTACTCGACAAATATCTTGCATTAGTGAGAATTTAAACATCCAATCTAATTTGATTTGTTCATTTTCTAAGACATCTTGAAGACTTCCCTTTGGACAATATTCATAAACAATACACTGATGTGGTACTTCTAAACACACACCAATCAATCGACAGATGTGATCACAGTTCAAATCTTTCACCTGATTTTTTCAGGAGACACAATGAAAAGAAAAAAATTTAAAAATAAAAGCATCAGTGAATAATTAGAAGAGAGAGAGCTCAGGTGATCAAATGAATATATATATATATATATATTTATATATATTCAAATGACTGAGAATATTTGTTTTCTATGTGCGTCGGTGGCACAGTGGTTAGGACTCTCGCCGACCATGCACACGGTCCGAGGTTCGATCCCCTCCCGACGAACACCTGATATCTATGATTGGCCTGCAAAATTTGAGCTACCGATATCACATGCTGAAAATTCCATACTTGTGCCAAAAATACAGTGTGGAATCAAGCTGTAGTCAAAAATAAAATAAATAATTATGCTGCTGAGGTAACCAGGCCATGAGTTAAGCACGATGTATGACTATTTATGTTGTTACCTAGTTGATTAGGTCGAAGTAAGTGTGTAGTATGAAGCCAACTTATCACATCATCACTTGCCTACCCATTGAAAATAAGCTAGGATTTGAAAATCTTTGTATTAGAAGAAATGTGAAATATACATCTGTGCAATTTAACTATTTCTAAATGATTAGAGGTAATAGGAATAAACACTTTACTGCTTATATGTTTACCTTCTTGTTGGAGTTGGTTACTAAAGACTTCCATTTGAATAAAACGATGAACAACTATATGCGCTGTAAATCTCCATTGTGGATAAAATTTTATTTTGACAAAATCACAGTGTTGTACAGTAATATTTACGTTTCAAGCACAAATTATTGCTGCTCATAATCATATCAAAGTACTCACTGAAACAACTTTATTGCTCCATTTATATACATGAGTAAAAATTGATTAGACATTTGAATAAAATCAATATAAGATAACACATGCAACAGAAATGATTCAACGCAAATACCGGACATATAGAAGATATTATTATCAGTCAAATCAGAGGATAATAAATAATGTGAAAATGTATTCAGTTCAGTTCACATTATAACATTTATTTATTTTATTTATAAAAACACCTTATTCGCCATCTGATTGTATTTTATTCTTGACACTAATATTGTTTCGAAATGTTATGTTGATTTTATTCAAATGTCTAATCGATTTTTACTCATGCATATAAATGAAGAAAAAAAGTTGTGTGAGTAACTTGATATGATTATGAGCAGCAATAATTTGTGCTTGAAACGTGGTCATCAGTGAATATTCCTGTATAACACTGTGTGATTTTATCTAAATAAAATTTTATCCATAGTGGAGTCATACTCTACCATAGTGCACAAGTTTTATCCTTATATCAATAAATGCTGTAAATGTTGAGGTTGGCTCCCCATAAAATACCGTTCACTTTATTTTCTAATCAGTTATCTTTATTATTTATGTATCATTAAGTTTAATTTGATTTTATGTTTGAAAACCAACAAATCAACTTTATGTTATAGCTGTTCACTAGCATAATCTAACTTGAAGTTAGTTTTCATCAATAAAATTAATAGTGTAACTAATGAAGGAGATAGCCTTACTGTATTTAGCTTAAGACTTTAGATTTCTATGCAACACTTATTGAATGCTCAGTTAAACAATCTATAAACTAAGAAAATATCCTCCACCCCCCCACACACACACCCTACCCACCTAATTTTAACCATTTTGTCAAGAAGACAAAAAACAGTCGGACTATGTAATGCAAAGGAAAACATTTTCAGCCCTTTTATTCAATACAAATTACATAATCTATATCTACTTGAACGAACAGAGAAATGAATAAAAAGATGTGATTTTTTTCGACAATGGTTGACAACGAATATATCAAAACTAGATAAAGATTTTAAAGTGGTTTTAGTAAACGAAGAAGACATGTATGGTTTTTAATGAATTTTTAAAGTTTATTTAACTTTATTTTACACCATCAAAAGGGATAAAAAACATCTGATAAGGCCATTAAACAACACAGAAGTGATGATAAACGCTATGAGTTTAATTCGCTTAGCATCTATCTCTTCTGTATTCCCATTATCTTTTACACTCTTTTTGTACTGGAGAAGAATGTGCGATTACACACTTTTATTTCTTGCCTATAGGAACTGGTTTAAGTGTTTTGTATTATTTATTCTAAATATTTTGCATGATTGTCAGATATTTCTGTTAATCACTATGTGATAAATTCAGTATTACTACAATTCGATAGCTGTAGATAAGAAAAACTCACAATCTCTGCACAAATTAGTCATGCATAAGCTGACTTTAATAACAGACTCATAGATAATTCCATCTTTTCTTCTCAACTCTTTCGTTGCATGTGTACTGTATTGTGCAACACTAATCAAGTTGCATACTAAATTCTCAAACTAATTCAGATTGTCAAATGATGAAATGAATTCATGGAATAAAATGACCAAAAATAATCCAAGGAAAACACACAAGTACTAATAAATTATTAAAAGAAAAAGAGAGAAAACAAAAACGAATTACAAGTTTTATAAAAATGAAAACTTGCCTTCTTAACTTCAATTGATAAGGCTTTAGACGGTTCAATACGTGTCTGTCTTCGTAATGGTTTTAAGGCAACAATACTTTTCATATACAATGCTGTACGTGCGAACATTTGTGAATTAGCTAATTTATCCAAATGTATACCAGATATTGTATCCAATGAACCTAGACTGGATCGTGAATCTTCTGAGTGCTATTCAATAAACATTTAAAAAGTAAACTAATAAATAAAGAATGCAAATACATACAAGCTTTTATTTTAAATAAGTAGTAACGATTATCAATCAGGTGATGGATTTGAGGATTTTATTGTTTAGGAGGTAAATTTTGTCACAAGGAGGAAAAAACTATCCACAACTCCACCTTGGTTTTTAATAGTTCCTTTAATTACTCTCAGTTTGTGATAAAAACTGCTTTGTAGTAAGGAATTATTATTAAGTTTTCATGACGATAACAACAAAAGATAAAATCAAAGAAACTAATAATTACTGAACACCTTTTTATTCTGCCTTAGAGATGTACAATAAGCATACAAGCTTATTCAAGATGTAGTCAAACGGTTATATGTGTTGCTTAAGGAAAAAGCACAAAGATCTTAGAAAACAACTATGTCTTTATAAGTGTAATGAAAGATAAAACGAATTCTGAGTTATCTATTTATTAACGTTTGTGTTTATAACTTTGGTAGAATTTTGGAACTAACACACTGAAAAAAATCTTATTACTCTTTAGAATCTATTTTATACTTTGCGGAAACTAGTCAAATAAATTTATAGGTATTACATAATATTCACACCGTTACATAATGAAAAATAAATTGGTCAAATCATTTAGTAGTGCTTGCTAGCCAGACTAAGGTGATGTGAACAAACAATGTCTGTTTTACTCATTTAGTTTCGAATTCATCAGCAGTGTACCCACTACATTCAGCTCTATGAGATGATTCGTTTCTTGAATTTTATAGGATGGAGGATGACTATCGAACTCAAGCATACACTAGTGAAGCGGTAGTTCGATGTTTACATCACTTTGATTTCATTAGGAAGTACTACTGCTACTTGAGGTGAGTGGTTTCCAAATACTCATATCATTCGGTAGTATATACCATCTTGCTATACTGCTTATTTTCTTTGAACGTCGCTTATAGCATAAAATAGATGACATTTGGTAATCGGAATGTTTTGGGGTTTCTAAAAGAAATAATGGTGAATTTTCATTTCGAAGTGTGTGATTTGTTGAATAAGGAATTCAAAATAATATCTCTTTTGCTCACTTTTGTTGCTTTGTTGTAGCCTATCACTTTATGACTGTTATAGGAAGTTATTTGATGGTATTTAGTTTACAGCAGCTACAACAATAATAATAATAACACAGAACAAAGAAATGCAGACGAATTCTTTGTGCACCCATCAGTAACACAACTAATAAAATTCATAAACCAATTTATTCCATATGAACAAAATGCTATATACGTCTCCTTTTTAGAAAGTAAAAAGCATAGAAATCAAACAGGGACTGATGGAGACGTGGAATTTCATTTTAGATTGAATTTTCTTTTTTTTTTTTGAGTCACGGTTGATCACATTAAAATGTCATACGTCTACCTACTGTTAAACTGGAAATTGAATATGACTAATAAACATTTTATCGGAATATAATAATATTCAGCATAGCCTTATCTATTATGATAAAGGTTTTTTTGTATTTCCCGATGAATGAAAAACAAAACGATGTTGTTTTTACTGACGTTTCGCTATTTAATGTTAATAGCTTTCTCAAAGTATCATTAAACCGGAATTTACAAATCTCAGCATAATATATATATATATATATATATATATATATATATATATATATGTATATAACAAAGAGTTAAGGGGTGAGAAAATAGACTTAGGTCAAGTTAAAGAGACATATTGAAAGCCAAGATAACAATCAAGATCACTAAACCAAATATCAAAGGTACATCTGTTATGATATCAAAATAAAGTTTACTAGCTTGATCATCGTTCGTTAGTCTGGGGTCATTTTTGGTTGTCAAGTTGGTCAATCGGTAAAGATAACAAAATCAAGTGTAGATTGTTGGATTTGATCAGTGTGTAAAATTGTTAAAGTAGTGTGTGTTTACATAGTGAACTTGCTTATTACATTTATGTTGATTTCGCCACTTCATGGGGGAGGGGGGTGTTGTAACCAGGTCAGATTCTGTTTAAGTCCATCATTCCTATTCAGGCAACTTGAATTCCACTTGATATGAGGTGCTTCTGATATAAGACGTTGTGATTTCTGAAGTTTTTCTGGATTATTTCAATATTGTCAAAATCAATTTTGTGGCCTGATTCTATAGCGTGTAGACCTGTGGTTGATGATTTTTCAAGTTTTTCTAGTTCAACTGGATTTCTCAGTGGTCGAAGAGATGCTCTACGGTGTTCATTTCTTCTGATTTTGATTTCTCTCTGATGAGGTTTGTCCGATGTAGATCGCATCACATTCCAAGCATTCTATTTTAGAGACACAATTAAATAGAGAATCTTGACAACAAAAAACGACCCCAGACTGACGAACGATGATCAAGTATTTCACAATCTACACTTAGTTTTGTTATCTTTACCAACTGACCAACTTGACAACCAAAAATGACCCCAGACTAACGAACGATGATCAAGCTAGTAAACTTTATTTTGATATCATAACAGATGTACCTTTGATATTTGGTTTAGTGATCTTGATTGTTATCTTGGCTTTCAATATGTCTCTTTAACTTGACCTAAGTCTATTTTCTCACCCCTTAACTCTTTGTTATATACATATATATATATATATATATATATATGCTGAGATTTGTAAATTCCGGTTTAATGATACTTTGAGAAAGCTATTAACATTAAATAGCGAAACGTCAGTAAAAACAACATCGTTTTGTTTTTCATTCATTGGGAAATACAAAAAAAACCTTTAATATGAATATCATATTCCCAATGCCCAAATTTTTTCAAACCGTTAAAAGTGAACTTGGTTTGGACATATATGATAGCCTTATCTACTTGACAAGTTTCGATATTCTGTAACTTTTTCTATCTTCTTCATTCCTTAACGTTCCGAGTGGAACATGGGGTCCCATGCTTTATGAAGTTCCAGTGGAGATGTCGTTTTGACGGGATGAGGCTGCTAGTCTGGTAGACAATCACCCCTCTTCCTTGGGCTTGCCATCTGCTGTCAAATTAAAAGAAGTATAGAACTGCACAGGGCGGCAATTGAACATGGACGTTGTGTGTGGATGGCGAGCATTCTACCATAAAATCTCTGACAATATGTTCCATTATCAAACCAAGAGTTTTAGATCTGTTTATTTAGGTATAACTGCAATGTATTCGCTTTCCTGATCCTCATAGATTAGGGAGAGAGTAACATACGATATGTTATTACAAGTCCAAAAAATTGTAAAAGAATAATGACCGAGGTTGAAAGGAATTCATTAGCCACAGAAGGGCTCGAATCAAAGGCTTTCGCGTTTGGTAGTATTCAAAGTATTACTGTAGAATATAATACACATTTTCCAAATATGTGTTTATGAATATAGATGAGATAAACAGAAAGGCAATGTATTGACCATAAGACTAGAAGAATCAGGTTTCCATTCAGGAACTTTCTCTGTGGTTCACAGAATCAAAAGGACTAATTACTATATAAATAGAAAATGGTTGCTCGATGCTCCATGATTTACATAAGCCATTAAAATAATATTACAGAGAATTAACTATTTTATGTTATATAAGTATTCTGAATAGTTTTTAAGATACATCAAAGTGGTATTTCATATATTTCACTTATTTTTTCATGACTGTTCGCACAGTTGAATGGACAATACCAAGTATTAGTTACAAGGAAATCAATCAGAGTTCAGAGGGAAAGTTAGAGTCAAGTGAGTCCCAACGGTAACACCAATTTTATATCTTTAATTCTTTTGTATAAAATGGAAATAAAGTGATCAAGTGAATACTATTAAGAGAAACGACTAGATTAGATAAGCTTCACTTTAATAACTGCATGATATTTTTGTGCCTATTATTCCAAATAACTAACTGATCGTAAAAGATGGGTTCCTAAACTGTCGACGAGGTTGTGAAACTCCATCGACGTAGGCGAATGAAATTTGTGTTGCACAGTCAGAATCACTGTCTTCGTCGACGTGCAATGCTAGCTAAAATAGGATTAGATCAGAAAGAAATGGTGCCAATCCATGATATTTCTGACTGTTTGTTTGAATAATATAGGGAGATGTAAACTGCTCGGCTGGGATGCTGGTAACGATGAGAAAAAAAACATTGGCTAGCTACTGTTGGTGACATGGATTGATTAGAGTATAATGACTCAAATCTTGTTAATGTCTAGTTTCTGGAATTGTTTAGTAATCTAAATTTAGTTGTGTTTTTTTCATACGTTTTCGTCTACTATAATCTCATAGCACTTCATTCCTTTGCTACCATACAGCACATTCAGTGCTTTCCAAAAAATGACAGCTTGAACTGATGCATTCTGTGTAACATCCTCTATGTTGGTAATGAAGTACAGTTCAGCTTGACTATTAAAATGCATCTGAATTAAAATATCTAAAGCTTAGCTGATTCCTAACCTTATATGTTTAAATGGTTTAAGAATGCGCCTTATACTGTCACAAAAAATAACTCATGCTTTTTATTTCAGCAGTAATAACACTAATTGATCGTTCAAATGTCACACTCACTAGATCAAAGTTGGAATTTACTATTCACTAGCTTAACAGTTATCTAACTAGACAAATAAATTATGAGCAGTTACAAGACTATAAAGAGTCTGACATCGATAAAGAGAACAATTCGAAAACCTGCAGGGAGTACTGAACAGCTGTTTCGTAATCCTAGCTTGGGACTCTTCAGTAGTACGCACGCACCACCAGGGTTCGAACCCAGGAACTTCTAATTACAAGGCTAGTGAGCTCATAGACCATTAAGCCACTGGGACTTGAAACAATGGCCAGACCATGAATTCCGCTTCTGTCAATTTACGACATAGCGCGTCCACTAGCCAATGTCTTCGGCGAGTATTTGTCCTCACGCCCGACCTGCTGTACCCTACTGGCCAGGGCTTCCCACTAGAACCCCAGGTAACTGCCTGAAAAGGACCAGCCGCTAGTGAGTATCTGATCAATTATCA